TATATGTGTATCAAATTCCTTATTAATATATTGTACAATAATAAAAAATAAATAAAATGAAAATTGTGCAAATTAGAAACTTGCCCATTGCTTCCTCATTATTTTATTTCGCTCACAAAGCTTAAGCTCCTTAAAGCAAGCGGGTTTTTCAATTTTGGCTTCCCAGGGTGTCTACTTAAATCCTGTAAAAAATTTCCCTGAAAATTTCCTGATCTTCCAGGTATTTTTGTTCAAAATTCCAGACAAAGAGAATATTTTAAATATTTTTTGATGCAATTTCTTAAGATAAATTTTTTTATTGTACGCGTTTTCTAATCCTTTTCATTCATACAAAGGAAAAACACAAAGCCATTTAAGTTTCAAGTATTAGATTTACAAATGTATTGAAAATAAAACTGAATAGTTTCGTTAAGATAATATTTTTTTACTTACGTAACACTTATTTTTTATCACTAAAAATTAAAATAAAAAATATGTATTGCATATTTAATATCTTGTTTTCTAAATATTTTGTTTTTTAAGACATTGAATATATAAACAGAGATAGATATATATTTATAATATATTTTAAACACAATTCACAACATTGCTAATTGGTGGATTGTCTATTGCTTATAGTATAAAAGCAAAATTATTAAAGAGAGAATTTTTTTAAAAAATTCCCTGGGTCCCAATAAAATTCCATGAGAATTTCCTGATTTTTACAGGTATAAAAAACATTCCCTGAGGATTCCAGGTTTTCCATATTTTTCCAGGGAGTAGACACCCTAGTTCCTCATAAAAGATATCTTAAAATTTGCGAAAGTTACAACGTGTACAAACATTTCTCAAAAAATTCAAAATTTTATAAAAAATGAACCTTTTTACCGATTTGCACCAAATTCAATACCAATCATCCTTTAATGATACCCTATTCATGGCATAAAAAACTGGAAAAAAATTTTGTCACGAAAACAAAGCTTCCTCTATAAGGAAGCAAAATAAATATTGATATGAAAGACTATATATCGTTTGCGAAGCTTTCTTCGGAGCTACCCGCATGTTCCTTGCGTCCGCACAACTACATAGCTGGGCCCTAAAGTGCAAATGTAGAAACCGACAACCGGTTGCGAATAATAAATTGAGATAGCGTCGAAGAGAGCGGGAGCTTCGGAATACGGAAATATGAGAGAGGTGAGTTTTGATAAAGTATCGGCGCGCACAGCATATAACGGGGAAAGCCCGATTTCTAACATAAGATACGGCGCGCGCGGGGTAACGCCCTTGCGACCGGGTGCGAATAATCGGGATGACGAAACGACGACCGGTTTTCTCGAGAGCAGGAGGATACGAACGCAAGTCTGAGACTGCATCCTCGGAAATTATCTCTGCCGGCGGCGATGGAGCCTGCCAGCATCGGTGGAGAGATCTCGGTGGAGATCGGGCGGATGTGAAATATTTCTACATCTTCCACATCAGCGATAACAATACATACACGTACTTTCCAAGCTACAATTTACCATTACCGAGTGACATCTGAGTGAGTCGCGGACACGCGAAATATCTCGAATTGCCGAACAGTAACGACCGGTCCTTGGTTGAGTAACGATTCTGCGATCACGTCCCGATGACATTCCTCAAAATGACGTTTCGACGTCGCATACAAGATGTAGTCTGGATCGATCAATCGTCGCGAAATATTATTTCCTGTACCAGTGGCTGATGAATGGTAAACCATTTGATTTACAGCGCAAGATCGCATCTTTCGAAATGATCCTTTGACAGCGAGAAACGCGTCGTCGACGTCATGACTGAAAGAACCTCTCTGTTTGAGACGGAAATTTTTCCTTTTGGCGGATCAGCGGGAGAAAGATATTTCCTATAAAATAAAATCAAGATGGTAGCTCGTATCTTGCAAAGCAATAAATAAATAAATAAATGAAAAGTTGAAATGGACCAACTAACGAGCAACGAAATGGGTGTCAATTAAATTAAAAAATTAGTAAGTGATATACAGTTCACTTTAATCAAATAACATAAACGTTTCGACTGTATTTAGTCTTCTTCAGTATAAAAAATATGGTTATATAAATGGTGACATAAAGGTGATAATCATCACCTATTTATATTTAAGTAACCATATTTTTTATACTGAAGAAGACTAAGTACAGTCGAAATGTTTATGTTATTTGATTAAAGTGAACTGTATATCACTTACGAATTTTTTAATTTAATTGACACCCATTTCGTTGCTCGTTAGTTGGTCCATTTTAACTTTTCATTTATTTATTTAAGATATTTCCTGTATGAACGACCGGGTCGATCCGCATCAGTGCGTTCGCCGATTAGCTTTGGCATTTTCTGCGATCGCGTAAAATCAAGTATCGCGAGAATCGAGAAATCGTGAGATTAACCGAGATTAGAAAAAGATCGATCCAGTCAACGAGATCGACGTAACGAGACCGCCTCTGGGAGTGCCCCGGGTATGTTGGCTCAACCGAGTTCATTCGATCTAATGATAATGAGATTACTTCGACTTCCTGCTTTGCGACGCGAAGCACGTTATCCACAGGATGCGTATACGAGACGATGTGACACCTTCTCGGTCAAAAGGTCATAAAGGTCAGAAAAAGTATAAAAAATTCATTCGATTCGCTTTTGTTTTCCTTCGATCCCAAGAACCCTTCCATTGGGAGGAACACACTAAAGTTGATAAGAACTTGGTCTTAGAACTGCGGTCGTTTCATGGAAACCATCATCTAGAAACAGGAAACATCTCCCGTAAGGACAAGTAATACGCTTGTAGTAATAAAACAGACGCTGATGTTTATTATATAACCGGGTCGTAAGGTAAAATAAAACGCCTTACGAATAAGAAATAAATTCAGCTAACGGATAATAAATTTCGATGGCTGATAGAGTTGAAAGATTACGCTCGTGTGAATCTTAGAAAAAGGTTTCTTTGCCATCGAGTTTCCACGAGCGAAAGAAATTACATTTTCCCCGGTACAGACCACCGAGTCGATTTATCGAAACTACATTGATAACAAATCAATTAACAGTTGATCATCAATGCAGTTAATAATAAATCTGACATTATTAATAAAAATATAAATTAAAAATATAAATTATAAATAAATCTGACATTTAATATATTTTAAAAGAATATGTAACAGCTGTTGCGCTATTGTTGGATTAAAAAGCGTCTCATTAATTGCACATGCATTAAATGAATATATCCCGTTCCCCTAGTATCTAACTAGTAATTTATAAATACTACAATTATCCGCGACAATCGCCAACAATCGCTAATGTTCGCATTAAGTAGAGTGCAATTAGAATTATTAGCGAGTTTGAGATAAATTTTGCATTGTTGTCGGCGATATGAAACTGACGTTTCATAAATCAGCGCCGTGCATACTTGCAGATCCCGGAGAGGCGCTTAATCATCATCATCATCATTTCATTAATTATTCCCGCAAACTAAAACGAAGGGTCTCCCCGCGATTAGAAAAGTCGACCTTGAGGAAGTCGTTGATCTTAGCCTACCCTCGATGTATTATGCATGATGGAGAGTCATCGACTTGACCGGGCGCATCTCTGCTTCGGAAGAGGAGGAATTTGTTATCGTCGATATATAAAGCCGGCGACTTTAAATAAATGCCTCATTCTTCATGCCATCCACGTATATGAACTGTACTACTCGCGGAGCTAAAGAAAAAAAAAAAAAAAAAAAAAAAAAAAAACCCGCTGTTACATTCCGTACAAGAATCCCACGGTTGCGTCACAACGCGTCGCAGAGAGAGAGAGAAATCGTCGCCTTTGAAAAAAACTTTACAATGGGGAGAATACCGCGCGCGAAAAAGAAGATACGCACCTTTTTGTCGGAAGTCTTGACGGGCACGTTTTATCTCGGCAAACACGAGACGCGTCCGTGAAAGAGAGGCGGGATAATTCTCGTGAAAAGTACACATCTAATCCGGGCGTTTCAGATAAAACGAGCGCGGTTCTAGAATCTCACTGCCGGATTATCTTCGTCTTTCGCCGAAGTCGCCGGAACTTGTCAGAGTTCCCGGTACGCGAAATGGAGCGTCATGTGACTCACCGTCTGTGCTAAGCTTCCAATGCGTGGAAGCTGAGAGCTGCGCGCCCATATTTCCTTAATAATAAAAAAATAATAATAATTCAATCCACGCTCGTGGATGAATCCCGTCGTAATTTTCCTTCTTCCGTGGCCGATTTGATCGCCAGGTATCGCGACTCGTCTCACATTACTCGGCATGCATTATTTACTCCAGGAAGTAGTCGCACACCGGGCCCAAGCTGACTGTGCGAAAATTAAGTCGCTCGTGTAAATTTCTGTACGCGCAATCACGCGGTGCTGACGGCGATTTTAATCACATGGATATTCGCATAACGATGATTTATATCGTCAGGACGCGTTTCGTCTGTAAGATAGAAAATTAGAATAAAATACCAAAAGCGAGGGAAAATAATAAATTATAAATATTTTCCAATATATACAATTGCGTTTGGGATCTTGTGTCACCAATCGATGACACGCCAATCAGCTTCTCTTTTCTTCTTTACACACTTGTCTTTCCACTGTGTGGGTGGCAATCAGCTGGCAAAACAATAAAGATTATCCGGCGCGGTCAATCACGCTTACCGATTTACGGCCGGGCGACAGGTTTTAAAGAACGTCGTAAATCGCAGGACGCGCGCCAATAGCGTGGACAAACATACGGAATGGTATCAAACGCGGTCAAGACGGAAGGTCAACAGCTTTAAGCGAGTTGTAACCCTGGGTTTCCCACGTCGCTGTGGGATGCCATTCCACGCCGCGAAAAACGGGACCTCGACAACGCGATCGACTTGTAACGCGAGTCTGCGACAGGTGCATTTATGTATTTTGCCGGATCGAACGGTATAAATCTATAAATATGTATCTACTTTTAAAATTTCTGTGCTCTCGTTAACTATAAGCAGTAAATAACTTAATCCAAGGAAATTTGCATTACCTTTCCTAGAAACTGCCCCTTGTAGTAAGCGTTTCCCTGCACGGGATCGACTACATAATCGCTCTCCTGCTGCTCGGTGGAATTGTTCCAAGAGGAAGACGTGGAAGGTCCGGGCTTCGCAACGCTAATCGTCTTTATCAGCGAGACGGCCGCGTTGCCGAAACGACCGCCGTTAGTCGTTGGTGTGACGTTGCTGCCCGTAGTGGTGGCCGCATTGCTGGCCGACGAGGAAACATCCTGGGTCAGATTGTCGGCCCTCGAGGTCGACGGTTGCGCCGACGAGGTCGCGTAGACGAGCGTCGACGTCGGCGTCACGGTTTGCGCCTCCTCCTCGTTCCGGAAGACTGCCGTGCTGCCTATGTCCTTGATGAAATCCGATGGGGCGGCGGGGTAGACGGTCTGCCTCGAGGACAGCTCGATCTCCGAAGGTAGGGACGACCCGCCATGCCTACGGCTTCTTCGACGAACCAGGCTCTGCAAAGAAGCGGAGCCCTTGGAGAAGCCCTGACGCGACCGGGCGTCCGGTACTGATCTGGTGCTGCCGGTACCGGCCGAGTCGATTCTCCGCTTCGAGCATTCCGGCTCCGAGACGGTGCGGATGGTTTCGTCGAATTCCTCGCGGCACCTGCCGATGTGGCATGTCGTTGCCTCGATGGGGCGCAACTCGGCGCCGCACATTGTCTCCGACAGCAGACCGCGACTGCTCATCGCCACATCGCGCGGCGTAGAATCCTGCGCGTCGATCACGCTAGGCGGTAACATTCCGACGAAATCTTACAGAATTATCGTGTCTATTCTATTCCGCTCCGTACAATACGCTGCTTCGAACTCGTCATCGATTCGATCGCAATCCGAAAATTTTGCGAGAATGATTTATATCTTGATACGTTGCACTTTCGGGATTGTCATATCCGACTTGACGAAACGTCGATCTCGGACGATTTTAAGCTTCCCCGGGGTCGGTCGTGAGATCTCGCATGCGAGGATGTGTTCGGTATTGTCATATCTAGATCGATAAGACGACACAAATGACTATAGAGTGGCTCCGAGTTTCTTTAGACATCATCGCCGTCGCGACGCCGACGCGCCGAGCTGACACACGTGTCCAGCATCATATCCAGCTCAGATTCAATAATGCAGCGAGATGATTACGAAACTTGCGCTCGCTCTGTCCTCGTTTCTACATACGTTGACGTCTCGTGTACTGAGTGACGATCTTGACGATTCCTGCGCGGAATATAAGATCTTCAAGGAAAGAGAATATCAACGTCATCGTAACCAGCATCCGCGCGATAACGGAAACATGTAATACCGTGAGATAACAATGACACACAATGCTGTTAAACGACGCGTGAAACTTGTCTCTCGTTCTTGTCGATTCGATCGATTATCTGTCACTTCTTCCGGACCAATGTTATTAAAATTGAAACATCACATTTGTTTTCGGAGCAAGATGGGACGTTCTATCCCCCCCGGCGACGGCACGCGCATCTCTTTGGGAATATACCGCTCGATAGTTCGCATCCACCCTTTCGGATGTCACAACCGCTAATCGTGTACTATCGAGCTGATGCTGCACTAGAAAACGTGACGCTAGCTGCTTTACGACAAGCCGAGATGACCTTCCATGATTGCGAGAGATCCTTCGCGAGTTTTTACGAATTCTTCTGCTCTTCCGGGAGCTTTTCAGCAGCGTGATGATGAAGACTCTTACGTAGAAGCAGATAACTCCTTCGGGGTTCGAGTTTCTCCGTGATTTGGCGTGTTTGTGAGCTCCTCGACGACACGAGCTCCTTCACGAC